TTTGTTTGTTTGTTTTTGACGCAGTCGGCTGGCTGAGGTCAGCAGGTTTTCTCTTTGTGGGAAACTCAGACCACCTTTAAAAGGAATTTGTAGGCCTGTCAATAATTGGTTCACTCTTTTCCTCAAAAAAAACATATTAAAATGCTTTTTGAAAACATTTTAATAGATTAAAATGGTGACATGGGATCTAAAAACAGTGGACTTCTTTAGTGTGATTTATGTAAAGAATTGAGAGCTGACGGCAGAGAAACCCCAAAAAAATAAAAAAAAACTCGGAGAGCTCCTCCCTTCTCATCCTTCTGTTATACGGTAGCGGACGGTGTTTTCATGCATTAAACTCATGTACCGGCAATGTTAAAGGATCATATAAAAATGCTCCGGTAAGACTTTAATAACTTAAACACACTTTATTTGTAGGAATAATGTAGAACGATGCATGCTATGATGAGTAGTGATTTTATATTCCTGATTTTTTTTTTACTAATTTACTTTTTTTTCATTTAAATGTTGACATGTGCATTTGAATGCGTAGGAGACAGTGTCTGCTCGTGTCTGCATAGCTGCACATTTTGCTGTGTTTTCTTCTGATCCTTGCAGTGCTGTGGAGACACACCGTACGGCTCGGCACAACGTGGACTTCTCTGTTGTCACAACGTCTTGTACGAAGACAGAGAGGACGGAGAGGAATGCTCAGACGCAGGTATTCCTTACAACCCAGCCGAAGGGACGATGTGTTGTTCTCGGTTTCGTGCCTCTCCTGGACGGCACTGCTGTGGGGCAGAAGTGTACCGGCCTCATGAAGAGATCTGCTGCGGTGGACACAGGTGATCATGTGTTCTTATCTCTGGTGATGTGCGTTCATTTAGGATGCTGATGAAATCCGGAGAAATGAGAGGACAGTATTGTTTTCCATCTGTCTGGTATTTAACATTGTCCGGCTGCGGTGCCATTTGTTCTCGGTGACCTTTGAGAGCAGGTGTTTTCCACATAGAAGGGTGTAGAGGAAGTTATGCCTTTTTATTTTCTTTTGGAGTGAATGTAGAGAAAATCCCAAACAGGAAAGGCTCAGAAAATTCCTCTGTTATTGATTTCACACGGTCTCGGCGTCAAGCGGATTCCAGCAGAAGCGTTGAGTCTGTCCCGCCTTTGTTTTTGTATCTGGAACCTTTAAAGGACGCCCAGTTACAATGCCGGGAATGTCTGTTTGTCTGAGTTTGCTTCTGCTTCGGTGGTTACTGGGAAAATCTGTTTATTCACATGTTTTTGCGGCATGCTCAAGCGTAGGCATGGTATGACTTTTACAAGTAGGTCTAGTTCTCCTCCTGGCGCTTGTCATATTTATAAGGGCTTTAGTTTTAACAACTTCCAGCCACAGATAAAAAAAAGTGCACCAGGCATTAGTGGTGATTATTCACCCAACTTGTTGCTGCTTTTGCTTTTAAGGTCACAGGTTTGTGCTTTTGGTTTAGCACTGGGGAACAAAGTGACACATCCGGCAGTCTAAAGGGATAAATGTTTTTGTATTTGGTGACTATATCTAAATACCAGGGAGTATTGAATGGGTCCGTTACATGTGTAAGTTGAAAAATGTTTGGTAACCTGCTCAGGACTGTGTTTTGTCAGCTGGCTTTGGAGCTGATCTGCCCTCTCGTAGCCAAGAATCACCACACTGGAAGTTTTCAGTTGCGTGTTTCAGTCATCCATCTCGTGCATGTCAGCTGGAAATCTCTCTAAGCTTTGTGTTTTTTTTACTTGGATGTTACATTTTTAACAGCAAATCGGTGCGTGCAGTTACGCTTCAAGTCGGCTACTGTGACTGTATATTGCACTCTGACTGCTGTGTGAACCCTTCGCTGAAGACGGCAGCAAAGAGCGAACAAATTGTCTTCCAGGCCGACACCCAGTGTGCATGTAATATGCTGAGGAAAGCGCATTCTCACTCTTCGTCGAATTATTTGTCTTTAGAACATAGTAATAACTTCTCTATGCCACTCTCCTCATTTGGTGTTAACTGCTAGCGCTCACTTTTCTCCAGATATCCCAAAAGAGAAGACCTTGTGTGCTGTGGGGTTAAAGCGTACAACGTTAAAGATCCAAAGATGAAGTGTTGCGCAGGAACGCTCTACGACCTGACGCATCTGGGAACCCACGGACGTGATGCAAAGTGCTGCGGATCCGTTCTGCAAAACCCACAGGTACGCACGACTAGTAATGACAGTAGCTTGATTAGCTGTGCAATTAATAATGTGTTACTCAGAGACATGAGACAGGACATCATAGAGCTGGAACATGTGATGAGCTATTTTGGGCACCCCTTGGCTCCAGAAATAGGTTCCTTCATGCACTGGTTGTTCCATGTTCTACTAAGACAGGCA